AAACGTGACAAAATCTACGAAAAAAACAAGGGCATTGGCCGGGACCATGCCGCGACCAGCCCGGGATTCGAGCCCAGGACCATTTTGGACCGTGCTTATTTTCCCGCGCGGGTCGAGAGGGTGCCCCAAGATGTAAATCAATTGGGGATGGCAGATTCTTGGACAATCCAGGTCGCTTTCCTGGAGAAATTCGACCGGATTTCGTCACTGTAACAAGGGTCCGGAGGGGTAGGGGAGGTAAGGTCTAAGGTCTAGGTCTAAGGCTAAGGACTAGGTCTAAGGCTAAGGACTAGGGCCTAAGGCTAAGGCTAAGGCTTAAGGCTAAGGCTAACATCAACAGTCACGCCCTGACCCCACGGTGTGGGGTCGGCGGATTAGGTGGAGGCCATCGCAAGTAGGCTGGAGGCCATCGCTACTAGTAGCAAGTAGCTACTAGTAGCCACTTTCGCTCAGGCGACCGGATGTGATTAGCTGGAGCAGTGGGATCAGCGCAGCAGAGAAGCGCCACAGGTGGCAGGTGGCCACACACTTGCTTGAGGCCAGACATGTTGAGTTGCAGAAATCTGGGGAATTGGGTCAATTGCTCGATGCCAATTCCGTTGCTGCAAAATACTGGAACCCCACCGCAGGATTCTTCTTTGGACTATGAGCTTCTTTATGGACAGCATTGCCAGTCCATGGTGGAAGGGGGCCAGGGTAACTCCCAATAGTAACTCTCAACGTGTCGCTGCCGCCACTCCAGCGCTGCAGGCAATGGAGCTTGTGGAGATTCTTCCAAACACAATCAGTTTCAATAGTGCCTTGAGAGCTACGCAATCCTCCGCGCTGTGGCATATTGCAGTGAATTTGTTCCACAAGGTTCTTCAATGTCACAGGACGGGAGGGATCATGGAATAACTGTTAAAACATAAGTTCATTCAAGTCTTGAAAATGAATTAACATGAGTGGATGCAACAACAAAGGGAACGCGGTCATAGCGAACAATGTTGTACAGATTCGGATAGAAGGAGAAGTGGCTTTTTGGCATGAACTGAGCCTGATACGTGCTTGATAATCTTGATATAGATTGTCAAGGAAGTTTGATGAAGCTCCAAGCCGTGAGTGGCAGCCAGTGTCATGTGATAGTTGCGACCGCAAAACGCTTGAAGCAAAACAAGTATGTTGGTGACACGTCAGGATGGCCTCAGCTAGGAAAGAAGAGAACCACTCAGATTTGGTAGCCTCCAGTGCAATGTTGGAAAACTGTACAATTGTTTTTTTTCTTTTCGTAGCCTCTCAGCGCCTTCAGGACTAACCTCATCAGCTCCAACGCTGCCCTGCTTGCTTGCGAGTATGGACTGGTTTGGGAGTGTGGGAATGTATTTGAGGTGCCAGTACCCCAGCACTTTCCCCGAAATAGATTCGAAAGGCAAACTTAAGCTTCACGATAGGTGGAAGCCTGTGATACCAGTGATCACCTGTGCCTATTCACCATCTACTGCAAGCAAATCGACTGTTCTCATGCCTTTCATGCTATGGTTTACTTCAATACCAGGACCACTCATGCTTCTAGATCTAAGTGTCGGTAGGATCGCACGATGGCCTTGCGATTGCACTCCTCAATGACGACTTGCCGAGATTGTCCTTCGACTTGATGAAAAACGGCCATGGCTCGTTCGTGGCTCAAGGCTGAAGAATCGAACTCCCGAAACAGAGTGTCTCACCGAGCACGAACCTCGCCGTGTGGACGGTCTGCCGGAACGTTGAGATTCAGATCAGTTGGAAGTCATCCTCCCGGCCGGCTTGGCGAATTGAGTAGGTAGTAGGTAGTGCGGCTTTGGTTTGCGGGTTGCCGAATTCACCTCAGCCTCCATTCTGGTGGATCTGCTCACACGTTTAGAATGCTTGGAAGGCCCAAGTGCCTGTTCTTTTTTGAGACAAACCCAGCAGTTTAAGTGCATGAAAAGTGAGGCTTGAGCAACTGGAAGCATGTTTGAGAGCATCGACTTATTGTCCAGGAAAACGTATGAGACATTGACATTGACATTTCTGGATGAAACGCTGCCAAGGCTGTGCTGGTGGCAATCTCTATGCCGGAACTCTTGATATCCATGGAAAGCCGAATGGAAAGGCCAGGCCAAGCATGTATAAGTACGTTCACGTGAGGTGGGACCTGGGATATGTTGGATAGTGACAATCAGCCAGAGGCTGTTAGGTGTTAAAATGGAATTGGATCATATAGGATCCATTTTCAAAGACATCTGACATGTCCGTCCTTTCTGGGCTCAAGCCCTTCCAGCTGAGGGAGTGAACAGTGTCACTAAGTAGTGTTCATCATGGGCACGGTGTGGGCAGTGCTGACCGCAGTGCTGCTACAACTCGGCAGTTCGGAAATTGTGGAACTGAGTACAGACGTTTCGGTCAACCAGACAGCTTTGGACATTCTGCAGCATCTAGAGACCTTGCAAAGTCAGCAAAGTCTCCAGTCCAATGAAACACATCCAGGCCCTCGGCGTTTGGATGAGACTTGCTGGATCTCGAGACACAAGCTGTGGGATTGTGGTATGAGATGCTATTCAGCCAGCTCCTGGAATTGGAAGCCCTGCGCATCTGAATGTGTTCAATTCCAACACCTGTCCTCCCGCTGTAACTACTGTTTGTCACACTTGGTGAGCTGCGTGCTGCTTCAATGTGTTTCGCCTTGTGCTCGAAACACGCACACAGCCAATTGTGAAGGCTGCATTCTTGGTGGCTGCAACAACAAGTGCTGGAACCCTTGAGTTGGAGACGTGATGTGACTGCTGCACAGGGCGAGCATCAATGAATGCAGCCGCCAAGACACAGTACTTCTCGCAGACTGGCTGACATGCTGGCTTGCGGTCACTTCTGCCGGTTTGACGAAAAATGTTTGAGCGGGAGGAAATCCAAGCGTATCAAGATTCTGATCTACCGCCATCTACCAAAATAGGTTCCGGACCATACGCTTGAAACTCCTCGAGTTTGCTTGTCAGGGATCAATGTATACCATATTCTGTCCTAGGATCATGCAGAAAGTTTAAAAGTAGTTAGATGCAGAAATACTCATTTAGCGCATCTCGTCAGGGAGTGCTCTACTATTTGGAATCTGGAGAGTGTGACGTCGGCACCTTCTCTCCCGACATGAAACAGACAGGCAGGTTTTGCTTGTCAATGTGCATGTCCAGAAGCTTTGTTTGAGATGTGTTGTCTACTCAAACCCATGAGTTGATACTGTAGTGCTGAACCATGCTGAACCGCTTTGGGCGGTTTGATGATTGGCTTCGGTACTTCGGTATGCTTCGATCAGGTATTGGCGTCCGCTTCAATCGAGAGCGGGACAAAGCCTTTGGGCTGGAGAATGGTGTGCTGCAGGATACATGTGATTGCTGTCCAAAGATGCCAACTTTGAGTCCACGTGTCGTTTGTGGCCACAGGAGCAGATCCATGTGATGACCAAAGCTTTGGAGCGTGCCGGCTTAGACCAGCCGCCTGTTGAGAGACACAAGGCACCTCTTGGAATCATCTCAATGGATGTTGATTTTGAGATATTGTGATTTTGATTTGTTTATGGAATTTCAATGAATTTCATGTGATGTTCCAGCATGGTTGACTTTCTTGGATTGGTTGCACGGCTTCTTCAGGGGCTGATCCCTTCGGCCTTTGGATACAACAAGACACGGACGGAGCAGGTGAAAGCTTGGTCGGGATCTGAGCAGCGGAATGGTGAACATGGAGAATGAAACCAGTGAAACGTTGCTAAATGAATCCAAGTGATTTGCTAGATAGAATGCATGATTTGTGTCCTGGCAAACTGCAGCTCGAACAGTTTACAACACTGGCCTTCGATATACAGGATATTGGTATACAATATATTGGTTAGATAGTAACAAGAAGCTACTAGTAAGAGGGGCATCGCTACTATGTTCATGTTGCTGGTGCCGGCAAGGCCCAATATCGTCCATTCCCTTAAAGACATGTGGTATGGCAGCCCCCATCAGACAATTAAAAAATACTATGTTGCATCATTTTCTGCGTACTTGATTGCTACATATTCTCTTTTGCACTTTGGCACAGTTCAGATGGCAGGTATAAATATCGAAGCTTGGCCAACCTGTCCATGACAGAGAGCTGCTACGGGGTCAACGAGTACCTGCCGGACAGCATCCGAGGAAAATGAGGGAGGCGCAAAATGCGCTTGCTGAAGCTGCTACAATATAGCATGGTTTTCAGCGGTTGCAGAGATACAATCAAAGTTGAAAACTCCATATGTATACAATCAGCACTCCTCACCAGAATATCTATCTACCTTTCCACCTCTTCCTGAGACTGGCATGCATCCCAATCAGTTCTGGAGCTGTGAGTCAGACACAGCTTCAACCTTAGTGGCCCGTATGATTTGGAGGCTGAGGAAAGAGAGTTTGTTGTGCTGCTTTGCACGGTTAAGCGCATTGCGAGTGAACATGGACACCACATTCGCGTTTGTAGACATGCGGCCTGACCCACTGAAGGGAATTTCCCTGGACAGTATGTTTCGTGCATGCAAGTCTTGGAGGTGTGTTCAGGTTTCGCAGCAGTTTGCAGGTGGAACAAGAGAGTTTCAGAAAGATTCAGAAAGTGTATAGTTGTTTGAGACTGTGAGCTCAAAGCCAATCCGTGTCCAAAAGTAAGGCTCCCAGCTGAATCACTAGGGGCCGTATAGAGGGAAACAGAAACTCAGCAAGCCTGAGTACTTGGGCAGGACTGGGCAGGGCAGATATCATGCAGTCTTGGATCAGTTGAGACCATCCTCATGGGCCGCTAGAGTCGCTAGAGGTAGCTAGTAGCTAGGTGGCTAGTACCTTACTTAGGCTACTAGGAACTGGACGCAGGATAGCTCACGCTTCTTCAAGGAAGCTCCCTTAGGGTGGCGAGGGAAGCTTCCTTGAAGAAGCGCTTGCACTAATGATTTGGTTCGGTTTTGGGGAAACTTAACGTGGCACTTGGAAATGCTATCGCATGCAGCACTGGATACAAGATGTTTTGAGGTACACTATGGTTCCAAACATGTCTTCTTGAACATGTCATGTGTTGCAGTAACGTTCCAAATTAGGACATATCATGCTATGCCTATGGAGGTCATCGCTAGTAGGTTGGAAGCCATTAGTACTAGTATCTACTAGTAGCTAGAAGCTACTAGGTTGGAGGCCATCGGATTTTTGATCGTGACAAAGGGCGAATGGACGTCGAGTATATATCCTGACTGGCTTCACGTCGAGGATGGATATCGAGCCTCCTTTGCGTTGACCTCAGAAGGATCAAGCCGCGTCCTAGCACGCAGTGCTCCTTGCGATGAACTTTTGTTTCTACAGTATAATAGATGTGTCATCATGTTTCAAAGATTCTTGTAATCAACGGTCGATGTGGGGATTCTGTTTGTTTGAAAGCCAACAGTTATTTGCTTTTAACTTTAAGCTACCACAAGAGAGAAACTTTCAAGATGTGCAAAGGTTGTCGTTCGAGCGTCCAGGCCGGAGCCTTTGACACCACCTTCAGAGCCGAGGCAACAGCCTTTTTTGTGTCATGACAAGCTACCCATGCTACCCAAATGATCCAAAGGGCGGAATTCGGCCGAAGACGTTGAAGGTTCAGCACCTACTCTCGAGAATTTTTGGATCGCCGAAGAGATCGAGGTGATCGAGGTGACCGTCATGACAGGCGGGTTGCACGATCCTGGCCTTACTACTAGGAGCAAGGACGCTACTAGGGGCTCCTGGC